GTTGGGGTCCTTGCTTATTTGCAATCTGCTGTCATTGCTATCATGCATTGACGTTGATGTTGGTTGTTAGGGGCGTCGGGAGCATTTCATATGGAGGGGGATGTAAGCCTTATTTTATAAATATTTGAAAACAACTTTGAAATAATATTTTCTCCTCTGCTGGTATTCAAAGTTGGGACACCTCGGTTGGTAGTCCAACACACTATCCACTGATTAAGTCACCTAAGATTACTGTTAAATAAAAAAAATTCTTCCCAGGAAATGTTAAATATATGTCGATGTTGTACATAGTTCTCATACCAAAGTCCCGCCTAATTTTCGATTGAATTTTGAATTTCCAGTACAGTTTTAAACCTGATTGTCTGTAACTATGGACTCCAACATAAGTTGATGGGAATATTAAACTTGTCGTTTCTTTGGCAGCATCTTAAAATATTCCCCGCAGACTCTACGTATATTTTCTTTGTCAGAATAACATTATATCTCGAGGTAGCCATGCCCGCCCGTCTGTTATAATCACGGTAGAGTTCGCAATATTTAAGTTAGAGGTTAAAAATTTAGCAACGTTTTTCCATCGACTCTTTGAGATAGTATTTCGAAATCATTCATATATCCTGTCCAATTTTCTATATTGTTTAAGGTTTCCAACGCATTTTCTCGCCAAAATGTCTCGTTCGATTTTCAGTATGTTGAAGTTACACTCCGGTATTACAAACAGAATATTATATTATTGGAGTAGTTGGCCTTTAATTGGTACCAATTATATTGTGGTATGTACTCGGATGTGGGAGTTACACGCAAATATTTACAGGTGCTTATGTATTCAGATATTATTTAGTAAATCTGGACAAGTAATTAGAGGGGCGGCTGTACTGAATATTAGTAATATTCGGAAAATATGTCATTGTAAGCAAGAGGTGCTGTTGAACTCTAATCGGACAAGACGGTGCAAATATCAAGAAATATTGCCCAGGCTCGGAATAAAAAATCCGCAGAAAGTTAGAGTTATGTGGTAGTCTTGTAGGGTATCGTATGGTCGGCCCCGTCCGTCTATACTGCTCCGCTCACTGGTTATATTATGGCTTTGTGTGGTCCCAAGAATTTGTAACGTCGCTTATCGCAACTAGCTGAGTCGATTTTGTAAGCACGATACAGGTCACAGTCATGGACTAATCGCCACGAAATGTTGCATATAGGTCGTGTTCCGGCTAATGAAGACCCTTATTGTTATTGGTAATTATCGGTTTTGTCTGTTTTTCTGGTCGCTCTAAAGGCCACAATTTTGACCCGAACACCACAAAAATTTTCACCAGGAAGGGGATCTGACCAAGAAATATGCATGACTGTTTTGATGAAGATCGGCCAATATTTACCGAATCAAATGAACCCAGGCGTTTTTTTGAAAAATGATAAAATTTGTATTATGGGCGTATAGGTTTATTTTTAAAGGGATAAACCCGGGAATTGTCGTATGTAAGGTCCTGACCGATTTAAGACATTTTGAATGTGTACCACGTGGTTCGGCTCGGTCGAACTTAACGACATCTTTACTTGTAAAACTGAATGACTGTAATTATAGTATCCTCCATAAGGTGGTGTTGCCATGCCTGTTTATTGAAATCACTATAGAGCTCACGGTATTTATGATTGGGATTGAACATACGTTACGATTACTCCATTTCAGGAAGTATTTCAAACGAATTGGCTCTAATGTAATATTTTGGGCTCGTCCTACCAAAAACGATCAATATAGTTCCCCTTGAACGGAATTTTTCAATATAAGTCCATGTTTCCACATAGCCCATATACAAAGATCACGCGTAATTTTCGGAATGCTCAAGGTTCTAGCCGAATTGTTCATACTGAATACCTCTAGTTTGGTATATCGTTTTCTCCGGCCAGCAATCTACATGGCCGCCATATAGAAGTGCCGATCGATTTGTCTTAGGGACTTTGTTACTTGATATGAAATCATGTAATATTTTTACTAATTCTTAATAAAATCAATCACAATACAGTCCTATAAACACCATTGCATTTTTTTCTCTGTGTACTGAAATCTGTAAAAGCTTTGTTTCTCTCTTAAATATCTTAGGTTTGCAAATTTGTGAGGATGAAACATCGAAACACACAAAAGAGATATGTTTCGTCCTCAATTGTGTGGCCGGTTCGTCTTCATTTTTTTGTTAAATTAATTATTGTTGAAAATATTGCAGTATGCATTAACGCGTGAAAGAGAAAACGATGCGAATTGATAAATAATATTAAATAGACATTAACGTGAAGATAAAATTGTAAAACCGAGTATTCTAGAAGAAAGTGAAATTAAAAAAAAATTAACGCACAAAAAGTGAAGAAAAAATAATTGCCCCAAAAATATGGCCCAAAATACCACCAGCAAATTAGATTGGTTTGAAGGTTTGCTAAAGAAAAAGAAATGAAACAAAAAATAAATCGAAATTTAAGAGAACGCGTGTTTTTTTTTTGGGTTCACAAAAATTTTAATTTTGAGAAGAGTATTGAAATGTGGTGGAATAAAGAGCAGTACTTTTACTTTCATTAATTTCAGTCAGTGGCATAGTATGGAAAATGTTGGATATGTTATACTTTACATAGTTAGTAATCATATCATTAATATATGCTTATAACTAACACCGTTTATAACGAGCTTTCTTTATAGCAAACACATTTCCCGGTCCCGAAGTTTTAAGACATACAAATCTTACCTCTTATATCGAACTACGGCGAACTTGTCTTATAAAGAACTAATTCTTCGATCCAAATTTCCAGTTTCATTTATTTTAATTCGGTTAAAACGAAGTTTTTACAAATATACATAATACTTAACCGTGAAAATCCGGCAACCTTTACAAAACTTGGATGTTAATCAACGAAAAAGACCAAAACACTAACTAAATTTATTAAGTAGTCGGATTTTAAGTTAAAAGCTAAATATGCAGTATATTAATTAAATAATATTTCATAAGAGTATAATTTTAAATTGATATTATTTCCAATATACATAAAAAATATATAGTATATCTGAATATTTATTGAACTTCCATAAATATACCAAAATTTACAATCTTTCCTTTATGTTATCGAAAAAAATACTAAAATCGTTTCGAAATCAGACCATCAGTAATTAATCAATTTTATAAAATAATAAATTACATAAAATTTCTGACTTCAAATCCTAAAAAAAAAAATAATTATCTTGCTATAAATTCCACCACCACTGTTATTTCACACGCTCTTTCTCTCATTATAAAAATATTGTTTTAGATAATTCTTGCTCCCTCATTCATAAAACCACATTGAGGGAAACAATTCTCATCCATCCATTGCCCCTCACTTTTAGTTTTTTGTTAAGCGGTAAAGTGATCGCATGCCAGTCTGACTGTTTATCAGAATTCGGTTAAGGTGAACCCAAAAAAAAGAAACGACAGACCTAAAAAAAATAAATACAACCTCCATCTGTACATATTCTATTTTTCTTCGTTATTGTGGTGCAAAATATCTTTTAGGTGTCTTAAAGAAATACATAAAAATGGCTCATCAAGTGGTTAAAGTTGTAGAACGCTGTGACATAGCCAATGAAACACAAAATCTAGGTAAAGTATTTTGATTTAAAACAAAAAAATATTTATAACTAATTATTTCATAAAATAATATTTAGTATAACGAAATATATATTTAATAAGCCCTCTATATATTTTTTAGACCGTAATGTGTTCTATTTTTATTTTCTTAATATGTAGATATGTATGTATTAATGTACAAAAACATATGTTCGCCAAACAACTCATGCTAGAGAGTGAGAAACATAAATGAGCTACTAGCAGAGTTGCCTAGTAGTCTTTGATTTTATATTTGAAGGGATAAATAAACATATTTTTTATTATTGCCAATCTTTAAGGAATCGATAATCGCAGTTTCAAAATTCTGTCGATCGAATATATGTAGCATCTTTGGTGGACCCAAAGATATGAAAAATATATATAAGTGTTTTTTAATATATTTTTTTCTTCAAATAAACAACAATAAAATAAAAAATCTCGCGATGTTTTAATTACGTTTTCACTTCAAAGCTGATGTTTTCTTCATTAAAAAAAAATAGAGTTTGTTTTTTCATACACGTGAAATTGGCCGGAAATATATATGGGAGCTATATCTAAATCTGAACCAGTTTTTCTTCAACAGGATTCGTCATTGGGCCAAAAAAGAAATATATATATATATATATTCGTATATATATATATACATATAATTGAATACGATGGCAAAATTGTATAAATAGGATTTAAAATTAATTCCCTATGACCCGATCCGGTCCCTGCAGAATCTTTTTCTTTTCTCAGATCCCGAAAGAATGGAGTTTTTGTGTAATGTAGAGTTCTTAGCCGAGACTTACAATTTCAAGGATGGAATAAAAGTACACAGAAAAAAATAATTCGTATTTTATCCTTGTTTACTTACTCCTTATTTACTTACAATGTTAATGTTCTGCGTCATTAGAACAACCATATAATAAAAAATCGGTCCATGTTAAAAATTCGGTTTCTTATCAACAAATGTTTGATACATTGTATTTAGCATTTATATCGAAATAGTTTGGAAAACACATGTGCGAATTTTGTACCACTCGGTAAAAGTGTCTGAAACAAAGAAACAATGGAATGCGAAACTACTCACAATCGAGTGAGTGGAAAGTCGATGGTTGTTAGCAATAGAAGCAGTAGTCAAACAAATTTATTATGACGTAAATTATGAAAATAATCATAAAAAGTTTTTGTTTCTCTGCGTAATCAGTACATTAAAGCCGGTAGGACTCAGACTTTTCAATTGACCTGTATGGGTATCAGCGTTGAATATTTTTTCCTTCTGTAAGGGTAATGACAACACTGTACATTTGTTTTAAGGAATATTAATTTTTATACTTTTATAACAGCTGTTATTGTAAATAATTTAATAGTATTTCGTATTTTTTTTCTTTGCAGATCTCTCCGAATGCGAGCTGATGCAAATACCTGATGCCGTCTATCATTTAATGCGCAACACAGAATTAAAAACTTGTGATCTCAGTGGCAATGTGATAAAAAAGATTTCACCAAAATTTGCATTGAAATTCACATTGATAACAGGTGAGTGAAATTGGAATCAAAACATACGAGGTCTGATAAAAAAAGAGACCTTTAGACCAGATAATAAAAATCTACATTGATCCATTAAACTACCTTTAATCATACTCAGATATAATTCCAACCTGCCAGGAGTTTTTTCTTCAATACACGAAACACATCTAAAAGCGTTATTTCGTACAGTCACCAGCTCTATTTTGATTTTGACCTTGAGGCAAGAATTCAAGATGAACCATCACATTGCATTAGAAGAAAAAGTGAGCAAAATCTCCCTATTTGACCGATCTTGACGTGCTTTTTTCGGTATTGAATTTTCGGCTTTTGATTTTAAGGTCGCGGCCATACACCATGATTCATTACCTTTTCGAGGTAATTTGGATCGATGTTAATGATGTTCGACAGCGCCTGAGCGATATCCATGGGAATTTGTTTTTATCTTATATTTCGCGAAACCCCATAAGAAAAGTTCACGTATCTACGATGTCAGCAGAACTTTATATGGATCTAGATGTAGCATGATATGTGGCATAATTATCATTTTTGTAGTAGGTTTTGATAATAGCTGTGCGTTTTGAGATAGTTGACAGATGCCGAATTCAAGTCCCATACTTTTGAAAGGGATATCCCCGTATCTGTCTAAAAAATTGTCAATCCGAAATGGCCGGTATAATTGACGTGTGTACCAACATAACAGAGAAAATACAAAAATCGAGTACCCGAAATCGTTTTTTTTTATCATCGTACATCATTTTTTCCATTCGATCCCTTTTTTACAATATATTATTTCCTATTCTCTTTACAGACTTAAATCTATCACACAATCACTTGAGCAAATTGCCCGATGAATTGGCAGATCTCAATAATTTGGCCAAATTGAATATTTCACACAACTCATTTATTGTGTTACCACCGGTGGTATTTAAAATCCCTAAACTACGTGAATTGGATGCCAGTCATAATGCCATAATTGGTAAGCAGAAAAAAAAATAATAATAATACACGTTAATAACGCCTCAACTGTATAATAAAATAATAATTAAAATATTTCCTCAATTTCGTACAGAAATCGATACCGATGAAATTATTACCAGTGATAATTTGGAATTGGTCGACCTGCGTCACAATCCCTTGGGTCGTACCTGCCATCGTCAGTTGAAAAATATACAAACACCGTTCCGTTTGGAAATATCGGAATTTAATGAAGATGAAGACTGGTAAACCAAAAACAAAAAAATTTAATATACATATATATGTACATACACGGTGTATATATTAAATACATAGATATATTATATGTTGTCAATTAATGACAACATGACATTTATAAAAAAACCAAAAAACAAGAAAAATATCTCAAAATTTAAGGAGGCATTATTATTAAGAAAATACACAACACATCAATGCATAGAAAACCACTACTCTCACATACATAATATACTCGTGGCCGTTGCACTTTTTTCAAAACTAATATTTTCATACAAAAATTCATAATTATCAGAAAAAAAATACAAAAAAATATACAGTTGAGAAAATAAAACTCATTTATTTTAGTTTCTAAGTGTAAATTAGATTTAAGAGAAAAATGATTGAATTTCATTTCCATAATTATTGGAAATAAGAATTATTGAGTCAAAAACACAAACTGGTCAATAGGAATGAGGGTCTCTTTAAATTTAATTTTTTTCTTTAATTTTTTTTTATAAGAATATACTGTCTACAAAACTGATAATCTCAAAATCTGAGAAAAATCGTAGTTATAAAAATTAAAATTTAGATAATTTCACCCTCTTTTAAAATCGGAACCATCTAACAATGGTCGTTAAAATTTAAAATGAAATCTTCAATTTGCTTTCATGATAAAGGAAAAATCCTTTTAGACTGTCATTCAAATTGGCCAGAGTGTACTAGGCTCTCGAAACAAATAACTTGCCTTAAAAACACATAAAAATGTTCAGAAGAAATTGTATGTTTGATCGGAGCAGAACCATAAAAGTTACATTTTTTTAAAAAATAATAAAAAAATATAGCAGTATATATGAAAAGGGTCGGAGAAGACGAACAGAATTAGGAACAAACTCGCAAATATTAGGTTGGGGTAAAAGAAGTCGTGGAAAATGTCGATAAAATCGGAGAAATGATCGAAGTTGACCGGCATGTTAGCAGTCGTAACATCGTCCAGGAGCTAAAAATCGAGCATAAAACTGTTTTAAACCATTTACACAAAGCTAGATTCAAAAAGAAGCTCGATGTTTGGGTGCCTCACAAAATAATAGAAAAAATGGGATGGAACGAATTTCCAACAGGGAAGTCTTGACCAGGAAGGTTCTGCTATGCATTTGGTGGGACTGGAAGGGGATTATTTATTATGAGTTTCTTCCATATGGCCAAATGCAAAATTCTGATCTCTACTGTCAACAACTGAACCGTTTGACGATAGCAATTGACCAGAATTGGCCAACAGGAGTGGTGTCGTGTTCCACCAGTACAACGCTAGGCCACACACAACTACAGTGACTCCCCAGAAACTTCGGGAGCTTGGTGGGGAAGTTTTAATGTATCCGCCATGCATCTTCTTTTTCTTGCTAAATTCCTTTAATGACAAATAATTGGTAACTAGGGAAAATTGTGGAAATCGAGTTTTTTGCAAATAGAGAGCAGGACTTCTATGAGAAACGCATTATGAAGTTACCTTTAAAACGGCAACAAATAATACAACAAAACGGGGCATATTTGAATTAATAGTACGGTCCGTTTGAAGATTATTTCAAGCAAATGTTAACCGCGAATGCGCCTGAAAGGCTTAACACCTAAATCCTTCCGCAAAATGTTGCATGTTCTTAAGTAACAAATGGGATATATCAGTTTGGTGTAGGTCCCATATAACGGTACATCCCAATATTCGGTATATTAGGGGTGTTGGGTTCGTTTTTAATCCAAATTTACTGTAAATTATTGGGAGTCAAACTTCTCTATCCAAAATCTAGTACTGGTCGACTGTTTTAATTAGTCACCATAAAACTGAAGTTCCTAATGTCGATATTTTTCGGAGTTTTGATACGGTTTTGAACAGAGCCCAACGTGAGTGTCTGTAGTTTTGTATTTTGTTTCTCCTGGAACCCTCGATCGATTATAGCTATTTGGAATGTCCTAATCGTGGTGGAGAGTATAAAAGGTTAAAAAGTTCAACTAGTGTACCATCAAAAAGACTCATATTTTATAAACTAAACATCAGGCAAGTCGGACAAACTTCGGAACAACTAAACTACCACAAATCGTCATTTAAACAGGTCTTATTATCATGTTATCATGGTGCAAAATCCATCATCGGATTTCCACAATTCTGTGCCTACCTGACGAATTATTTCGCACAAACAGTGAATGTCTTCGAGGTAGTGTTCTTTATTGACAATACGACCTTATAGCAAGAGTCCATACTGCATCGCGCCAACAACAAAACCAAATGCTTATGTCAATGTCAGTCTATATTGGAATAATTAGGATTTGATTTCATTGGCATTGCTTGGCTATTATTCGTCATCAATTATGACATTTTCAAGTAGACTGAATCGCCATACAATTTCTTCACAATTATTATTGTACTATATAAAGTATTGTATATGTGTGTTTTTGTAAATTTTAATTAATTAACATTAAGAAAACAAGAAAATAAAAAAAAAACATTAAAAAGAAAACATATATCCAAAGATAAACTACTAACACAATTTTTGTACTTACAAATACTATGTCCCAGAACATACAAACAACCTCATCATATGAGATTATCTATTATTTTTATTATTATTTTAATCCACAATATTCTTTTAGTTTCTTTTTTTACTACGAACTGTGATTGTCATCTGATTAGAAAAAAACATTTGATTTATTTAAATATTATTTTCTCTTTTACCATGTATATACATTTAATATGCATATTTTATGTACATACAATTTTATTTTCAAATAATGAGAAAGGAGACAACAAGATCGGTAATTGACAAATAAGTGTAAGTCAACAATAAAAAATGAACAAATCTACAATCTACCTAGTCATTACTATGGATCTTTTTAGTATTTTTTACAATACGATACTGCCTGTCCTCATATATTAGTACTTATTTATAAATTAAGTTTTACTGTTACTATTTTTTTAAATTATTTTTAGTTTAAAACTTGTTTATTTTTTTTTTCTATTTATTTTTTGTTTTGTTGTAAAATATTTTTAAATAAATTATGATTTTAATTCATTCATATATGAATGAAAATGACAATCAAAATAAAATAAAGTTTTATTATGAAGAAAGCAGTAAGTATAAATAAAAATATATTTTTTGAATACCAACAGGGGCGTGAATTATCAAAGAAAAACGTTCCAATACCAACACAAATATGTTTTCAATACCAACAGAGGCGTGGATTTTTAAAGACATTTTTTCAATACTAACAAAGGCGTGAATTTTTACAGTGTATCCTCTTGGTGTTATATAATAAAACCAGTAAGGAAATTAGTAAAGTCGAACGGGGCCGACTATATGATACCCTTTGTCTAAATGTGAACCGACTTAACCGTACGACAAATAACCGGGTACCGGGTATTTTTACCTTACTATGGTGGAGGGTATATTCATTTTGTTTTCCGTTTGTAATTCATCGAAATAATCATTTCCGACCCTATGAAGTATATACCTATGTTATTGATTAGAGTAAAATTCTATGACGATATAAGTATGTCTGTCTATCTGTCTGTTTTAATCACTCTACCCTCTGAACAAATTGAGATAGATCGCCAAAATTTTGCACAGAGTTGTCTTTTGTCTGCCAGCTGGTCAAGTTCGAAGATTAGCTTTATCGGCCCAAGCATAGACATATAAGGGTACAATAGGCTCTTAATTGGTACATCAGTACGTAGTGTAAAATGTTGTGCCAATCGGGCTAAATGTGGCTCTTTAGTGCACCATTTGCTAAAAATCGGACGATAGTATATATGGGAGTTATATCTGAATCGAAACCGATTTTCACCAATAGGGTTCGTCGTTGGGGCAAATAAATTAGCTGTGCCAAATTTCATCTCATTCGGATAATAAATGGACGGTGATTCCATGCATATTCTCAAAAAGGTCCATGGATACGAGATAGACCCATGGTTCCTTTTACAGCTTTCAATTTCGCCGGCATAGATTTTACCAATTTTTTCTTGTAAGATGGCTATACTTGTACATCATTTTTCCGACTTCGTATGCTTGAGATGTTTTGGCTCTTAATATTTTTTCTAAAATACTCCATAAACTCTCCATACGATTTAAATCTGGACTAAGGACAAACTAAAGCATACATACACGAACGATATGTGACTTGTTTTGTGGCCATTCTCATGTTTTCAGCAATACATTTCAAATTATCTCTTTGCACGTTTTAATAATAAATCTTATTCAGGCTGCACTCATACATACCTATACCATTACAGAGCATTCTCCGCGCTTTACGGTCGGAATTTTGTGCTTAGGGACCACGGCTTTATTCGCCATGCGCCATACCATACTTGGTCCATCCGACCCAAACAACTTACCAATTCCAGTGCACTTATCTTTGGATAATTATATATTCAAATATTTGTCTCGCTGGTTTTCGGCTTATTGCAAATTCGAGTCTCGGTTTGAGCCTCAATATAATTTTTTGTACAGCAGATCGAGTAAATTTAAATAAATTTCTGATGGATAATTTAATTTGATATTCCATGAAAAGATTGACTTTTAACCATTATAGTGTGAATAAGACCGGTGGATACTTTTCACTGTGAGGTTGGAATTGCTTTTGTTTAACAATAATTATTTTTTGTATTGAATTTATATAAATAATGACTATTTTAATTCATTAATTTTAAGTTAGAATGATCATGTTCAGATATAAAAATAATAACATTTTATTTATTAATTAAAAAACACTTCATTATTTAATATGCACTTAGTCAACATTACCCGAAGTTCCTCTATTTTAAATTATTCGGTCGGACGCTATTACTGGTCGAATGAATAGCCTACAGTACAATAAACATCAACGTATTGAAATCTGGTAACACTGCCATCTATTTAGTACAGACAATTTCGATAACATAATTGTAGCGAAGACAAAAACCCAACATGTTTCGATAACATGATAATAGCGAGTACAGTAACCTAGCAACACCATTAGTGTAATTTGTGAGGTGTAGATGTCGCTGTCATGATATGAAAGAAATGT